TCGCTTTGCCCCTTTCCCCGCCGGCTGCGGCCGCGTCCGGACGCTGTTTGCTCCCGGTTCCGTCCCAGTGCTCCCAGTTAGAGCGGTGCCGGGAGGGAAAGCGCTCCCGTTCCCTCCCAGTGCTCCCAGTCAGAGCGGTGCCGGGAGGGAAAGCGCTCCTGGTTCCCTCCCAGTGCTCCCAGTCAGAGCGGTGCCGGGAGGGAAAGCGCTCCCGGTTCCCTCCCAGTGCTCCCAGTGCTGCACGGGCCGACGCCGCTTTGGAACCCGCCCCGGGCAGAGCGCGGCTGCTTTTGGGTGTCGGCACCTGCCCGGGCCGGGCTGGGAGCGGAGGCGGAGCGGCAGGAAGAGGAGGGACAGAACCGCGTTGTTTCCCGTGCCGGGTCTCAGGCCCGCCCGCTCAGGCCGCCGCTCCACCGGCGTCAGTAGCACCGAGCCCCACACACCCGACGGAATCCACAGGTGAGCGGGGAGACGGAGCTCACCCGGATTCCATTCGGGGGGCTATTCGGGAGGGTTTTCTTTGCGGGGCAGGAGATGTTTGCATCTTGCAGGACTCCAAATCTGAGCAGGAAATGTTCCTCGAGGGATGTTGAGGGATCCCGCGTCGAGGGGGCAATATCGGGTTTAGGGATCCCCGGGAGAACCGGGGACAACGCAGGGGCCCCAAAGGGGAGAGACTGCAGAGGGGCAATCCCGAAGCCAGGATACCCCTAGCACCCTGAAGGGGTGGAGGAGCCTCGGTGAGCAGACTCCTGGATGAGTGGGCTCCAGGGCCTCCGAAGCTGAAAGAGGCACTGACTTCTCCAGCTGCACTTTGGCAGCAGGACCAATCAAACGCAAATCACTCAGCCTTGCTTTCCTCCAAAAACCAGGATTTCCCATTCCCAAACCTTGGCTCGATGGAGGAAGAGGAGGCTGCGAGGAAGAGGAATTTCCCATCTCCAAATATCTTCCAGATGGAGGAGGAGGCTGCGAGGAAGAGGAATTTCCCATCTCCAAATATCTTCCAGATGGAGGAGGAGGCTGCGAGGAAGAGAAAGATGCCCTGAGAGCACCAGGCAGGTGAGAAGGAAGTCAGTGCCCCTTTCCCCCTCTCTCCTGCTCCAACTCCCAGCCCAGCATGGCCCCTGGCTGCAGGACAACCCTGCGGCCAATGCCGTCCTGCTGGGAGTGGATTGAAGAAATTTATTTCTCCTTGCCTCAGGCAAGGAGGCAATTCCCAGCCTCTCCTTGTCCTTCCTCCCCCAGACAAGGAGCTGAGGATGGAAACCAGCAAGGACAAATCCCCAGACTTGAGGCAGAACCTCATGGAAGAGGCCGTTCTGAGCAGCTCCACAGCACAGGAATCCAATGGGGAGGAAAAACACTGTAAATGCTGCAATGGGAGGGGCTGCAAATGCAGATCACAGGGATCCGAGGAGGAAATACCCACACTGGGCTGGGGATGCAGCCAGAGCTCAGAGCTGGGGGTCCATGAGCAGCTTCATGATGGGGAGAAGCCCCACAAGTGCTCGGAATGTGGGAAGAGCTTCGGCAAGAGATCCTCCCTGATCTATCACTGGAGAATCCACATGGGGGAACGGCCCTATGAGTGTGGGCAATGTGGGAAGAGCTTCACACAGAGCTCCTACCTTATTGTCCACCTGAGGACCCACACAGGGGAACGGCCCTATGAGTGTGGGGAGTGTGGGAAGAGCTTCAGGACGAGATCTAAACTTACCCGCCACCAGATGATCCACACTGGGGAGAGGCCCTACGAGTGTGATAAATGCAGGAAGAGGTTTCAGACCAGCTCCAATCTCCTCACACATCAGCGCATTCACACAGATGAGAGGCCCTTCCGCTGCCCCGACTGCGGGAAGGGCTTCAGGTACAACTTCCGCCTTGTCACCCACCAGCTCATCCACACTGGTGAGAGGCCATTTGAGTGTCCTGAGTGTAGGAAGAGCTTCAGGACAAGCTCTGAACTGATTGTTCACCAGAGAATCCACACGGGGGAACAGCCCTATGAGTGTGATGAATGCAGGAAGAGGTTTCAGAGCAACTCCCATCTCCTCTTGCACAAGCGGATTCACACAGATGAGAAGCCCTTCCTCTGCCCCGACTGCGGGAAGGGCTTCAGGTACAACTCCAACCTCATCAGCCACCGGCGCATCCACACTGGGGAGAGGCCCTATGAGTGTCCCAGCTGTGGCAGGAGCTTCTCACAGAGCTCTCACTTGACCAGACACCTACGGAGCTACCACTAAGGGAAAACCTGCAAGTGCTCCAAGTGTGGGAAAAGCTTTGTGCGCTGCTCTAGCTCCATCCCCCATGGGAAGATCCACACTGGATGATTCCCAGTGACCCTGCAGTGGGCAGAGCCCCAGTGATCCCGTGTTGGGAAGACACCTGCCTGTGAGCTCCACATCGTCCTGGCTCCCTGTAGCCTGAATTTCTCATTGTCCCTTCAAATCACTCAAAATTGGGGTAAAAATAAAGATGTTGAACTGAAACATGGATAAGGACAAGGTGTGGGTATGGCCATGAATGGTATAATGAGGGATCTTCCAGGGGATGTGGGGGATTATAGGTTCAAGGGAGTTCAGGGTTTCTGGGGTGGACTTGGGGGTTGCTCAGGGCTTTGGGCACTCCAGACCAAGTGGCTCAGGTTGTATTGGGAGACCCTGGTAGAGGTTCTGGTGGACCTGATCAAGTCCTGCCCTGGACTTTTCCCCATGTCCCCCCATTCCAACTCATAGTGTCCCCTGTAGCAGCTGCTCTACTCCCTGCTGTCACCTCATTTCTCTTTACAGAGAAAACCAAGGCACAATTTTTTCCCAAGGATTTACTGGGAAAGGCAGTGAGAAGCCTCAGAGAGAACAAGAGAAAACAATTCTTATCTGCTCCTGTGTTTGTCCCACATATAATGTGATATTGTAAGAGGTTGTCTGAAGACCCTCACTCATTTGTCTGCCGATTGCCACGAGAAGGAAGAACACCCCCACTGCAGTTCCAGCTTGGAGAAGGCAACAGTGCAGGTGCAGCCACTGCACTGTCACGCCAGCTGTTCCAAATGAGGCCTGGCAAGAACTTGGCAAGGAGTTGGCAAGGACTTGGCAAAGACCCAGCGTGGAGCCAGCACAGGGTGGCCTGCTGCAATGACTACTTCACTCTCCACCTTTAAGCCCAATGAACTGTTGGGGTGACCCTGGTGGTCTCTCACTGAAGACTTCTCATCTGCCTTGTTACCACCATGAGAGACAGAAATCAAGAACCCTCTCCCCAAGGACTGAGACCCCTACCACAGGGAGTGGGAGGGGAATGGTGGTGGAACCAAAATTGACATGACCTGTTCTTCTTCAGTAACTCCAATAGACTTATTCTTCATTGTGTTCATCCTGCTTTGGTGACTCACTTGTTCCCCCCACAGCAATTTCAATGGACGCTTATTGTTCTATATGTTCCCCCCTTTTTCCTCTGTGGACTATAACTGGACCCCTGGGTTGGGTAGGACTTTGGAGACTCTCCCCAACACAACAAGATGGATCACCATCGTCCGGACTAGTGAGGATCTTGCCTGTGTTGGTAGCTATTCCCATTCCCCTTTTCTCTCTCTATCCTTTTTATTTCTTTTCTGACCCCACTATTGCGTTTATTGTTTTGGCCCCTAATAAATGTGCTTTTGTTGTGATTAAACGGATAGTCCCCTGCCGTTTGTCTTTTGCACTTTGGGATCAGCTAACGAACCATCATGACACCCCGCTATAAGCAGATCGTGACACTAAATTGGTGTCACAGACAGGATTTCTGTCTAGGCACAAGGGTGCAGGTTCTGTGTAGTCTGTAACCGGGGAAGGACGTTTCTTTCCAGCTGCACCTAGCCTGCCAGTCCAAAATGCTGAGCAGTGTCCGGATAGCAAGGGGAGAGATTTGAATTTCCGGCAGACTGCACATTGCCTAGGTGAAAGAAGCACCCACACTGTCTCCAGAAATTTGCAAAAGATCTCTTAGTGCAAAAGGCAGTGTGTGCAAAAAACACTGTGTTGTTTTATTGTTGTTATGTATATTTGGACTGTCTGGGAAGGAAGGGACAACTTGAAGAAACTAAGCAGAGCCTCCCAGGCAGATTTTGTCTCTTCACCCACCCAGGGAAGCAAAGGGCGACACAGCGAAGGCTGTGTGATTTGTGTGACTTAAGTTTGTACCTCCCTGCCGTGGTTTTGGTCCCTTCACAAAATGAGTAATAACCTTAATGATAAGGCTAAAGTTGAATTTTATGCTCTACTAGCTAAATACAATGCCAAACCTTCTCCGGGAGAATGGGCACAAAGTAATTGGTTTAATTTGGATAATGTGGTTGATAGAATAGGTTCTTTACAACATGATCCAAAATTTAAACTGGGCAAAAATAAAACCATCTTATGCTCAGTTTTGGGAGCTTGTCTTACAGCAGCTGTAGAAACTTGCTTTCAGGAAAGAAGTGAGCAAGAAACAATAATAGACTCCCTTCAAAACTTGGTTGAAATTTTACAAAAACAATTACATGAAGAAAGGAATGAAAAACTTTAATTAAGAAATGAGAACTATGCATTGAGAGCTGCCTTAACAGAGGAACATGTTAACAAATCACATAATGCTGATTCCTCTACAGATCCTGAGGAAAAGGAAACTCCTCACATTAACCAAATTTATCCTCACATAGAACTTGAGGCAGCAAATCATTGTGGGGAACATTGCTGCCCTCACTTAAGACCCTTAATTAAATCAGAATATAACTGTTTTAGTGATGATGATCTTGAACCCCACATCACACCTAAACACATACCATACACTGCCACTGAATTAGCTAAGCTTAAAAGAGAATACGGACACCTCCCATACGAATCAGAAACAGAGTATGTTTTCCGGGTGTCACTCACTGGTGGTGATCAAATTAAATTAACTGAACAAGAAGCCAGTGGGTACTGGGGACATGGTGTCTTCTTAACAACAGGAGATAAACGTGACTCATGGTCCCTGACACAGTGCACGGCTTTTTGGGCCGGGGGAACGAACCCCTTGGAAAGGGGAGATCCTATAGCTATAATTAGCACCCCTGACCAACTCCTAGAAAGTGTACACAAAGCCGCTTGTCTGCAAATTATTCATGAAAATAAGTAAATTCCTGGCTTTGAATCCCCGATGCAATTACCTGTGAAGCCTGAAGTAATGACTGCTTTAATCTGTGGGCTTCCAGAAACACTCAAACCTACTACCATAGCCTTACAGAAAAATATCATGGCATTAAGCCCTGTAGAAAGACTAGATAGATTTCTTGGTAACCCCACTGATCGCACTGGATCTACTTGTTGCAGGATTTCTGAGAGAGAGAGGGCATGATTTATGTCTGGAATGAGATTTGAGCTACTCCAGCCTAGGCCTCAGATCTGCGCCTTGTGAGGCCTTCCAAGCCTGTGACGTAGTTAGAAATTAAGAGCTGGTGGTGCAGTTAGAAATTATATCAAGGTGTGATGTGAAGCACTGGGCTTTCTGGGTGTGAATTAGTACAGGTTTATAGTGTAGAGTTTAGTCCACCTTAAGACAAAGACAAATAATGTTAGCTTGCCAATGAGAGTGCCTTTGTAAACTCTAAACTATATTGAAGTGTATATAAACTGCCATTTTCTAACTAATAAAGGGAGAACGTTTGATTGACCACATTGGCCTGATCTGCATTTGTCCAGTCCAGCTTTTCTGTCTAGCAAGGTCCCTGGCTTTGTCTAGTGATCCTGGTTTTACTCCATCCCATTCCCCTTTCCAAGCTACAAATTCACAAACCAGTTCACCTGGCAGTAACCATAAAGTTTGGACATGGGATGAAGTTGCAGAAGATTTGATCAATTATTGTAGAAAATATGGACCTGTAAAAACCCTGGAAGTGAAACTAGAAAAATCAGAGAAAATAAAAGGGATTCAGTCTATTGGGACTCCTAACAGTAAAAATCCAGAGAAGGGAAAACAGAACCCTAACCACCAGCATTGGTGATCACTAGGAGTCCAAAAGCGGGTCCCCAGAGAAGTGATGGATGGTCTTCCCCTTGATAAATTACAGAAAATAATAAGTAACTGGCAATATCGAATATCAAATCCATCAGTTCAACCCAGTACACACCCCAGTGCACCCACTCTTCCTCAGAACATGGGCAGCAAGCCAACTCTCCCTCAGCCTCTCCTTCTCAGAACACAGGTAAGGAACCAATTTTCTCACAGTCCCTCCTGCAAAACAGGAGCAGTGGACAAAAACTAACCATATCACAGCTTTCCTCTAAGAACTCAGGCTGCGACCTAAAATTAACCTCTCAGTTTCTCTCTCAAAATCCAGGCAGTGAGTCATCTCTTTCTCAGCCTTTTCCTCAAAATCTGAGCAGCGAACTGACACAGTATCAGGGAAACTAATTTCTCCATCCCTTACAGGTGAGCAAAGAGACGGAGCATGGGTATATTTAAGAAGGCTCACTAAAAATAAATCAGGAGATACCTTGATCACAGCTATCGTGGGTCCCAAATGTGTTCTTGTAACCTTTTTGATTGACACTGGGGCTCAAATCTCTTCACTAACAGAAAAAGATGCCCAGAGGTGTGGGGTTGTTCCAACTAAGAGACAATACTGTGTCCTTTAATGCTCTAGGAATGTCAGAATCTATGAATATGGCCTTAGTTAAACTCACTCTTCCTGGAGATGAGAATCAGTTGGTTGTTAAAATGGTAATCAGGGACATCCCAAACAATTTACTAGGGATGGACATTGTTGTTGGGAAACAGTGAGAGGACTCAGAAGGATCTCTATGGTGTTTTGGCGCTATACCTTTAAATATTAGGTTGCTTCAAACTGCACCTGCTCTGCCATATAGCAAAACCACCAACGTGAAACAATACCCTCTACCTTCTGGTGCCAGAGAAGGTATCAAACCAGTTATACAGGATTTGCAAGACCAGAGAGTAATAATTAACACACATTCAGCTTTCAACTCACCTGTCTGGCCAGTCTGAAAACCTAACGGGAAAAGGAGACTGACAGTAGATTTTTGCAGGCTTAATGCCAACACAGATTCTCTCACAGTAGTGGTCCCGAATTTAGCAGAGTTAGTAATATCTATTCAAGAAAGAGCTCATCCTATTATGGTAACTGTAGATGTCAAAGACATGTTTTTTTATGACACCCATGCAACCAGAAGACATGGATTGTTTTGTGTTTATGTGGGAAGGACAATACACTTTCACTAGACTCCCACAAGGATACAAGCATTCACCCACCTTAGCCTACCATGCTTTAGCTAAAGAACTAAAAAAGATATCCAAACCTGATGATGTAGCAGTATACCAATACACTGATGATATTTTGGTGGGAGGGGATGAAATTGAAGCAGTAGGAGAGACTCAACAGAAAATAATCTTCCATTTAGAGAGTCTCGATTTACAGATCCCGCCAGAGAAAGTTCAAAAACCCTCTCAGGAAGTAAAGTTTCTGGGGATT